AAAAAAAAAAATCCACCTCTCAATACACACACACCCCGCAAATAAAACAAAACCAAAAACAAGCAATACAAACCCCAAAACAAAAAAAGAAAAAATTAAAAGAGTTTGCAACTACCTATCGAAAGTTCGGGAAGAGGGGTGCTATACCCACAAAAGACAAGTTGGGCTTCTCAACCCTGAACAGAACTGGAGATGCAGAGGACAAAAATTGCATATGGAATTAGGGTGTGTGTGCTGGAGATCAATCAATCAAATCAACCCAATGAGATTGACAACAACAATGTTCTAATCTTGCCCACGAAGAATACATACCTGATTTAAATGGTTCAAGAGTTCTCCTTCAGTGAAAGAAAATGCCTCGGTGAAATTATCACCGAGCTCTTATGTACGAGACCAAGAACCCTGGAGAAGATCTCAACACCGCAACCTTTCTTGGGGAGCGCAAGTGCTAGAGTGTAGCAAGAGACTTAAAAACTCAAGTCCCACAAGAAGCTAGATGAAAGGATTACAATATACCACAAATTATGAACAACATAATATTAGACATAAATAGTAACAATTGAAAGGTTTACAAATGTCTGTTTATCCATACAAATATTTTATGCATTACATAAGATTACTAGATAAACATCAACATTTTAGGATATCAACTCCTAACATTAACATTCACCTATTGCCCAGCACATCTCATTTTTAGAGAAACACCTGCAAGTTAAAAGCAACACCAGGTTAGATAATGTCGTCACTAGCACAGACCAATGCAACAGCAATCCAGCGTAAACTTTTCTCTGGTCCATTTTCTATATAAAATAAGATTACTATCAGAAAGAGGCAATAATACCGAAAGAGAGGATGGTGAGAACATTGACACTCTACATAGTTCTACTTTTTATTTATTTACTTGCTTATTTTCTTTTCGCAATTACAACAGATTTGCCTTCGTACACTTACGAGTGCTATTTAAAGGGACAATTGTAGAAAGAAATCAGCAAGAGATGGATTTCTTTTTATTTTTTGAGCATTCCACACCTTTCCTATATTAAGTTCAGAGCCATGAATTATGAAATCATGACATAAGCTTCAATGTCAAATTCATGGGATGAGTCACGTAATAAAAATGTTACAAATCATCTTTCTTATAGATCAATGCCCCAAAAAGAAAATTCCAATGGAATTAAAAATGTGCACTAGTGCAACAGGGAGACATGTTCATTAGTGTTAAGAGGATATCAACAAAGCAAATTTTATAATTTAACGAGGGGAACAGAACAACACAGTTTCTACTTGTTAACAAACCAAAATCAAGCTAGCAGCTTAAATAAGCAAATATGCATAACAATAGCCTAATCTTAATTAATCTACTGGGTAGTCGTAGTACTCTACCCAGTTTCAATAACATAAAACCTTCAACTGTCCACGGCAGCACCCATTATGGTCAAGAAATTGAATAAAAAGGAGAACACCAAAGAGAGTTGTATATATGTTACTCCACACTGGATTCATAATCACAACACTTGAATGCAAATCAAAGACAACTTGGACAATTTCTTTTCCACTACGCTTTAACAAAATTTCTATAACTTAAACGAAACCATCAGATGACACTATATGCCTGAAATTGTTTTACCCACAAGTTTGTAGCAGTCAAAGAAATATATTAAATATGAAGAAACATCTCAGTTTGCAAANTGGTTTATATCTTAAACAAAATTTCTATAACTTAAACGAAACCATCAGATGACACTATATGCCTGAAATTGTTTTACCCACAAGTTTGTAGCAGTCAAAGAAATATATTAAATATGAAGAAACATCTCAGTTTGCAAACAAAAGAAATACAGTCCGCTCTCCCAGTTCTGTTTGAAATCTTTGTGATCTAATGTAATTTACCTGGAATATTGAATGAACAAAAGACCTAAAATAACACACTAAACATACTGGAGAACAACATAAATGATTATATAAGTACACATATAGTCTTTAAAATTATATCTTAGAATTTTTCACTTAACAATATTAGTAAAGACTGAATCCAAATTTAAAATTATAACAATACTAGTGAAGACTTTGAATCCAAATTTAAAATTACCATTTGGAAAGACAGATGAAACTACAACTGCGAACTTGGTCCACAGGGCACGTCCAACAACCATAGTTTTGACAACATTAACACACATTATTAATTGAATCTAAGTTCAATTCAAATTTTAATTTGCCCAATGTAATGTATAAGAATTGATGAAATCTCGATTAAAACTGAAACATAAATAAAATAATATCAAAATGGGATGTTTCAAAAAGTTCGGGCCTGTTTGGTTTGCGTTTCAAAAAATACTATACGAAAATAGTTTTTAGGAAGAGTTTTAAGAAAGTGGTTTTGAAATTTTTCGAGATAAAAAACTTGTTTGGTTAAATGATTTCAAAACCAATTTTACAATACAGAAAATAGTAAAACCTGTTTGGACAGCTTAAATATATATTTGAACAGTAATTCAAATATTAATAAAAAAATTATTTTTAGATTGATAATTTCATAAAAAAAAAAATCAATAAACCAAACTTTAAAATATATATATATATATATATATACCNTTATTTTTAGATTGATAATTTCATAAAAAAAAAAAATCAATAAACCAAACTTTAAAATATATATATATATATATATATACCCATATATATAATGTTCTCCTTATTTCTAAAATTTTTAAAGAAAACTCTGAAATCAAAATACACTTATTTTCTATTTATTTGACTCAAATCTCATTTTTTTCCCAAAATTTAGAGAACAAAAATGCTAATCAAACAGATATTGAGTGTTTTTGAAATTTTGAGAACAAAAAATTGTTTCCAGATCACAAACCAAACATGGCCTTCATCTTTTAAAATTCTAACAAGCGTACAGGGCCTAAGTGACACCTACTCCATAGTCTGGTGTAAATGCCATATATCACCCATACTTGAAAATTCTAGCCTCAATCATGTATTGACTTGGCGTCCATGTAGCCCAACGAATCATGTAATAGATCACCCATCTTAAGGGGAAAATAACTCATTCATGTGATATACACCCATAATTAGGTTAAAAAAGCTATGTCCAAAACACGACAAATACCGTAGTAATCCAGATCGCCCAGACATGCACCAATCATGAAACAATGAAACTGCAGACTAAATTAGTTCACAATAATAATGAACATCATAAAATAGAGACAACAAATTAAGCCTGATCAACTTCACAACATACAGACAATAATAGGTATAAATATATTTCAAGAGAGATAAACTCGTGCGGAAAAATTGCTAATTTCAAAACTATGTTGAAGCCTATAGTCCTCCAGAATGCCTAGACATGCGCCAATCATGAAACAATGAAATTGAAGACTAAATTAGTTCACAATTTTGACAGATCTCATAAAATCAGAGCCTTCAAATTAAACCCGATCAAATTCACAAAATCACATAGAAAAATCACAGACAAGAAAGTTTCAAAAAATCAGTTCAATTCACCATCCTACATATATGCATCTATGCAGAAATATACTTTAAGAGAGAGAAATTTGAGAGTAGAATTACAGGCGAGATTGAATTACTTCACAATTTTAAAAGAAATCTTAATATTATAGAAATCAAATTAAACTCGATCAAATACGCAAACTAATAGAATAATTACATAAACAATAAAGATTCACAACTTCAGTGCGATGACCCATCCTACAAATATGTATCTATTCATAAAAATATTTCAAGAAAGAGAAATTTGTGATAAGAATTACAGGCGATGAAGATCAGTTGTAGTAGAGTTCGAGGCCCATGCCGTCGTGAATCCCGTAGTTCTTGAGGGTTTTGTGATCCTTGTAGATCGTATACCACTTTTGGATCCTCATCTTCTCGGATCGCGTGCCGGTCTGTGCGGCGACTCGCTTCTTGAGATCGCCAATGGTGTCGTCCTCTTCACACTTAACTCGGACCTTCTTCCCAAGCCTGTCGTTCAGCACCACCTCAATCATCTTTCTCCTTCGTAAACCCTCACCCTATTCCTATCCCTGATTCTTCAAAGTTCAAAGAGTGATCGCGTTGAATGACTCAGCTAGAGAACCAGAATTTATACGCCTTACCTGCTGAGCATCTTTTTTTGATCAAAAAAATCTGCTGAGAGGACCAGAATATATACGCCTTATCTGCTGAGCATCTTTTTTTGATCAAAAAAATCTGCTGAGCATCTGTTTTTTGATCAAAAAAATCTGCTGAGCATCTTCACGCGTTGTGTGAGTTGAGGGCCACGAAACGATGGTCCAGGGTTCCAGAATGTCCTATTGTCTTTTGGGCAAATTACATTTTATACCCCAAAAATTTAATAATTTAACACAAAAATCACATTACAACACTTTTAGGTATAAATCAGGTTGCTGCAACTATTTCCTTTCTTATGCCAAAATTTTTTTAAAAATGGTTATCAAGTATTTTTATTAATTTGGTTAACTTGCACATGATACTTACGGTTCTAAATCTTCTCTAATATTTTTTTTTTCAAGAGTAATTTTATACCATTAAATATTAATTCATATGGAATTCACTATTCATAAGTGTGTTATAATTAATAATTTCTAATTTCTTGGGTTTTGTTACCTCGGTCCAATTAACAAGGTGTATTTTCTTTTTCCTTTTCTCATCAGTTGAACCCCCATAGGAAGTTTCGGTTGATCCTATCAAAGCTTTGAATCTTGCAAGAGACGTGATGTGCGTAATTTGTAAGCAATTACAAACATATCAAATTTTCCTGTTACACAGCAAAAAGACGCATGACTATTAAATAGCCAATACCATACATATAACTAAGCATTCCTTAGTATCAATTCATCGTAATATCAACAAGACCTCTTAGGCTTTTAATGGATTTGTCAATGCCTTGAGAGCAAATCCTGAGACTGTTATAACACGGGCTGTCATAAGACGTGAAAGTTTTGTACGAATTATAAAATTCTAAGCTCAAGAATAACCAGTTCGTGCAAATGCTGCAAAAGGCTACATGCATCCCTACCTAATCCATTACCTACAACAAATTGGTTAATTACCATTTATTACGTAATGTTCGGTAGGGATGTTCGATAGGCAGAGGGTCCAGAATGTGGCAAACAATGACCAAGAGAGTAGAAAGTAGGAACTATATGAATATTATGGAGATGGGGAAACCCCACAAGTCAGCAACAGGTCGAAAACAAAGCCCTGAATAATGAACAAGTGTAACAATAAATAATCAGTAACAAGCAAGACAGTCTAATAGCTGAGTCCTATTGAAACAAAATTATACTGTACATATGACCGTTTCATAACCCCTTGCCAAACGAAAATGGGATCTCCGGCTGCCAGATCTGTCACAGGTTCAAATAACCAAAACAGGAATACCCGCCATTACTCCAGAACTGCAACCTCCTGATCAACCCTCCAGTAGTTTGAATCATTGAACTCCTTCATCCCTGCCCCACTGTCGTCTGAATTCTCCTTCTCCGGCATCTTAGGAAGAATGCTTCTTTTCAATGCCCCTGCTTCCCCAACAATCCCCTCTTTAAGAGCCTGTTCCATTGCCTTTTCTGTACCCTCTAATTCCACGCCTACAAACTCGACATCCTCTTCAAACAAAGACGGCACTGCAGCAACTCTCTGACTTGAATCGGATCCCACGGATCCGTCACTGGAACATGTGGAAGTTGAGGTACCATTTGGTACAGATTCTGCACTTCCACTCGAGGTGGAACTTACAGGGGGTGCCACTGCCTCAACTGAATTGGAAAGATTGACACTAGGGTAGCTCTGATCAACAAATGGATTCACATTTGATCCACCAGCTGGAAAATCCGATGGCTCACCCCATCCAACCCATTCAGGAATAGGCCTATCTCCAAATGGATCCTCAATGTCTGATGCCTCAAATCTGAAGAAGCTCGTATCACCAGAAGCATTTGACTTCTCACTATGTGGATTCAACTCTCCACCATTTATGGAATTGTTTCCACTAAATCCATTAAATATATTAGCATGGGAACTGGATGTGCCATTGGCAGAATTTTGGCTTTCAGCCAACTCCTCATCCTCTCCAACCACCACCTCATCATCACTACTACTATTACCACCATTTGATATTCCATTCAAGTTTATATTGTCCATCATCTCAGAAGGCGATGTGCTCATGGGCACATCACCTATTCTGTCGTCTTGGAAAGCAAACCAGTTGGAATTGGTGAACAAACTGCTGGAATACCAGTAAGCAACATGTCATATCTATAATCATGAAGATGCCAATTTCAAGTTCTCATACAACAATCACATGGCAGAAGTAGGCACAAGCAAAACATTAGCAAACATTAAAGGTTATATCATGGGGTTTTTTATTATTATTATCATCAGCAATGCCATCATCTTTTGTTTTTGCTTCCTTTTCCCTTCTTAGTTTCCTTTCAACCGTCAGACACACAACTGCAAGGTAGTGGGCTCAAACCTAAGGCAGCCACTTAGCGCAAACAATGCCAAATATTAGGTATATACCCAATTCAGAGCATCCCACATGAATTTCCACATTATTTAATTCCAATTTTACTTTAGACTAGCAAGGAAACTCACCTCCCTTGGTCATCACCCAGCCTCAGGGATGATATCACAACTTCAGCAGATTCATCATCAAAGTAAACATCCTGTATTTAAGAATCCAGATGCCACACTTCAATATAGACATAAAGGAATATTGAATATTTTTTTCTCTTTTTTTCTCCTTATATACATATATATTTGTTCTATTCAAGAATGTTATCATATATACCATCACCATTCAGTATCTTGTCCATCAACTGGAGGACAATTGAGGAAAAAAAAAAAAAAAAAGAGGACAATTGAGTACACGAATTATAGCAGAAAAAAAATACCTCATCATCTCGACCAAGAGCTCCATGGCCCTGCAATCAGGAGCCATATTATACCACTAGAAGAGCAACTAAAAGCTGGAGAGAGAGACACCAAGGAGGAGAAAAGGGGTCATAAAAAAAATTCCCTATGGACACCACGCATACCTCTTCTGTATCCTCATTATCATATATGGTATATCTAAACGCTTGGCTTAGATTATTAGCTAGAGCTGCTACATCATAATCCCTGTCATGAATGTCGTCCTCATCACTATCCCTTGTCCTGTCATGCAATGCAGTTGGCCGGCTGCACATAAAAAAGGAAAGGAATGAAATCATTATTGTCGGGAAGAAAATTATACAAACAGACATTGAGGATCTGGAGAAAAACAACAACAAAAAAAAAAAAAAGACGACCCAACTTTTGTTAGCTTCCCATAATTAATGCCCCAGGATATTTTGTTAATCTTCATGCAAATTGTGCCTAAGTTGTACAACATCTTCAACAGAATAGGAGGCACCATACTCTTTTGATTTTCCCCTTTTATATGGCAAGTTAAGATAAAATTCATCAAAAAAACTTCTAAAGAGGAAGCACAAACAAAGATTGAAAAACTCTATCTATCTATAACCTTGTAGCTAACAACTCCTTATCATACTATTTGGGGTCCGCCATTGTTCAAAGTACGAAGTGCTGACCACTACACCTGAATAAATGTCCCCAAAAAAATTCCAGTAAAAAAAGTTAAAGAAAGGAAAGAAGACTGTGTCCAGAAATCCAAATAAATCAACAAATACACTCTTCAGCTTTATAATATGAAGCTCCTCACCATCAAAAACATTTCTATTCATCTGTCAAGATAAACCACACTTGCCACAATCATCTTGCACTTCCGCACATCCCTTCAAGCACGCAACTAACCAACAATACTCCGATGGACCTGGCATGTAGTTGCTATAGCCTAACATGACAAAATGGCATCCCACGACTTTCTAGCAACCAAGCAGTGGAGTAAGTGTAAGTGTGTAACAAGTGTCCTACTCTTTCGTCTCCTAGCCCTAATAACAAGAATCCATTGCCTTTGCCTCAGACTGTCACCAGCTGGTCATATCCCATGCTGCTGTCCAAACAAGGAAAGCCATCTTCTCTGGAGCTCGAGTCCAAGAAATAGCTTTCCAAAAAAATTTGGAACTTCCTCCATCAATTTGTAAAGCATCGAGGAACCTGAATGAAAATTTACCATAATTTGCAATATCCACTGCACCCATCTTTGAACCCTTTGTCTGGATATGAGAAGACCTATGTTCTCCCTGAAAGAGTTTGAAGACCACCTTGAGACCTCATCTTTTATAATGTCCTATTCTTCACCTCTCCTTATATTGGAGAATATTAGTGGAAATATATCAATTTTTCATATTTTGGACACGTAAGTGGAAGTTATATCAATAAAAAGTTTGACTTGCTCCAACTCAAATGACAGGTGATGCAACCCATAAAAATCCCTAGGAATAGCATATTCAGAGAATTTTGCTATTTCTGGGTGTTATGATAAGTAGCAGTTTTTCACGCATTAAAATAAAAAGGGAAGTAGGGGGTGGCTTGGTTTGAGAGCATTGTACCAGAGTATGAAACACTTTGCAAGACAAAGATTGTGAACACTACTCTGGCCACAAAAAGCAGTTTTTTCCAGTCTTCCTCAAGTTCTTCTATATTCCTCATTTATAGGGTTGAGTTTATGTTATTTCAAGGGCCAGGATTACTTTCCTTCTAGAGTTGCAAGTCTATATTGAGGTTGGAATCATTAAAACCCTCAAAAATAACGAATGATGGATAATTGATATAGAATTGCAGCTTTAAGCTCTTGTTCTGGATGTGTAATTGCTTTCATCTTGTGTGTCAAACCCTAGGCATGTTTGCCCTAAGTCTTACTCCTTTGTCAAGTCTTCTCTACTCACTTCCTTCCCTCAAAATCTTCCAGCAATCCTAAAGTACTGATTGCAGATCCTCACATAGAAAAGCCATCATTCAGCGACGCAAAAACCCCAAAATAAAATTCAAACTGTTGCTTACCCATTCCTAGTCAAACAATAATTTCCCAGTCTAACCTAATCCTGAACCCCTAAATCAAATGCAGATTTCTTAGAAGATACTACATCACTTAAATCTTTGTATGCAAGAAAGTGGCACCACAATTTAGTTTTGAGCTTGATCACAGTTACAATTTTAGGACTGTAAATAGAACAAACAACTTTTTATCTACGCCAAGACTACTTCACCACACTTTTGCATATGCCAAATGCATAACAAGGGCAAGAAGCATACCCGCAAGCCCATCGGTAGACATTTTCAACCATATTGCGCTCCTGTAAAACTGTTGCCTGCCAATCATTCCATTCGCTATTTACCTACATAAACAAATGAACCGTTGCCTAAGTAGAAGATACCCACACAAAAATCTATTTTTCATACTCATTAATGTCTTTAACAGTCAAGCAGGAGTTAACAAACCAGTACAAACAAGGCGAAGCAAGATAATTGTGAAGTTCAATCATATCTCACTTGCAGCAAAAATAAAACCTGGGAACAGATAATACTCAATACAGAGGACTTCAGAGAATTTAGAAGATAATATGAACATTAAGGTTTCTGACACAAAAACAAAAAGATTGTGGACCCACGCTCTATGAAGAATGGTGACGATGCTACGAGGAATCAAATAAATCAATGTTTCCATTACAAAAAGCACAGACCGCATAAGTACATTTTACTTCTCATAACTGCTGGATAGGACCAAACAGGCAAGAACCGAGTACATAAGGATGCGCATGGCTCTACTCTACACCTAGCCCTTGCCTTGCTGGAAAGGAATACCACTTTCAAACATGATTTCTGATATTAGTAATGTGAACCACATTCATGTGAAACTTCAGACGCCATTCAAGATTTAACAGGAGTGCATAACTATTGAAAAAAATACCCAGCATACTTAAGAGCATGTTATTAAAGAAAGGCATATCAACGCATATGTCCAGAACATATCACACCTGAAGAAGTTCTTGGATGCGGTTATCACTGTTTCCCAACTGAACAAGCTTATTAGAAATACGCGTAAGGTGCCCAAGGTTTCCAGCACGGGGTGCCCTTCTTCCAGCAGCAGGTAAAGTTGGCTGCATAATTAAGAAACTCACATTATGAGTACTGAGTTTTAAGTCCTTACAGAAAGGAAGATATCTGTGCGTATGATTGTAAACAGCTACTACCAAAGGAACTGTAAATATACCAGCCACTCCACCACATTCACAAGAAGTCAAAAACCAGAAAATATCAAGGTTGAGCACTGTGTTACAAGTATATGAATGACTGCACGAAAAAGGGTTCCACCACAAAGTACTACCAAACCACAGCCATCAATCACCTCATGACTGCATATATTTACCTGATTTTGGTCACCAGAAACAATTGGATTTTTTTCAGTTTGGAGGATTTTCCCAATCAAATCACACTCTTGAAGCAGATGATCAACAATGGTATTACTTTTGCTTTCTAAGCATGAATATATAATACTCTCCACATGCTGATGCAATGCGTTGTTGTATGAATATCTGCGTCAATGCAAAAAACAAATAAGATGCTGGACGTTGCATGTGCTTAGCCAATGGAAAAATAGTGAAAGAAATGCACACAAGTTCAATGCTTTTTCATCAATTTGCTTAATTCAGTCAGGGTTATCATACACCAAAATCACAAATTTAAGCATCATCTTACTCAAAGAAGAGATCAAGGACTCTTTTAATAGTTCCAGAGCTGACCAATTCTTTCTCCACAACCTCATTGCCCATTTTCAGTAGCACCGCAATGAATTCCACAATCTAACAATAATAGAGCACGACAATTTTGGATAAAAATTAACATGTAAGAGAGGATCAAAAAGTCTGCTAGCTACAAAATGAATGCAAGTCAGAAGGATGCAGTACATGCCCAAGGCAAACTAAATACAAGTCAATAGCATGAATTATATGCCAAAGGCAAACAGTTTTTAACACACCTGACAAATATAAGATCTTGAGATTTTCTTTACCTCTCTGAATTTCTATTTCATCCAATACCAAAGGGTCATATGGATTCAACTTTATCTTACATGTATTTGGTAACAATCTCCTCCAAAAAAATCCTTTTAAGTAAAACATGCACTCATGTTCCAACCAGGATTTAAACCCTACACCTCCAAGCTGGAGAAGTGGTAGGAGAAACTATTTAAGCTAATTGTCATTTTAGAAGAAACTAACCTTTAGACGATGCTTTCCAAGAGGAGGCCTGAGTTCACCATAGGTTGTAGGCAAAACCTTCTCGTCAGAGGACACATTTAGTAGCATCAGCAAGTCACCTGCACCAACAGTTGCATAACATTGATTATCATTGCTGATAAAGAGACACCAACAATAAATCACTTGTCAATGGACAAAGAGAAAGCATTTATAGCACTGTGACACTGGCACAGCATTTGACAGGAGTGGAATGAGGGCGGGGTACTACAGAACCATGAACTGCATAAAATGGTGGTCTCCATCCACAAGAATCTGTCACAAACTCACAGCACAACATGATCTTGCAGATGACACTTCAAGGATGGAGGAAATTGACATGAAAATTACATGAACCTGTAAGGCATGTACTTCTCCAGCACATGTGCATGGCAATATCTGAGTGCAAAAAAACCTATACAGAGAAAGGGACCAGCCTTACAACCCAAGTTTTGATTGAGCATAGATATTCCCAGTACCACTATTCACAAAGTAGCTAGACTGTGAAAGCCACAGAAAAAACCCAATATAATATGACATCCCCAACTGCTACTGAAAACTCTGCCAGTGTTAACTTCCATCGGCCAACTTCTATCATCTGTGTCTATTCCATTCATTGCTATAAAGAGAAATTCCCTTTGAGCCTAATATAGCATACAAGCTTAACATAGCATGTAGAACCAGTAAAACGAAGTAATCTAATACAAAAACAACAAAATCCATACGTATTGGTTTTGTTTGTGTGAAAAAAGATGTCACCAATGAAAATAATACAAATGTCAAAAAATGAAGAGGACATTGTCATAAAAAATTTATTCTCAATTTAAAAAATTAACTAACATACAAATGCTGACAAAAAAATAGAGATGTGGGAATCATGTATGATATAATCCATTCATAGCTTACCAAGTTTGGGCAGCATTGCACCAACAGTCTCGGGATTAACATGTATGTGTGACTCATACATGTGTTGACTCCGGAAAGAATGAATCAAGGGAGAAGGAAGTGATCTTCTAGGATCTAATAAAGAAATACAGACAGACAATGAGTGGACAAGACCCGATTTTGAATGTGAGTCTTCCAACGCGTGACCAAATATCCTTGCCACAAAACTGCACATTAAAAATTTTCAAAACCAATTAGAAAATATGTATTTGGCTGGAGGAAATGACAGACCAAATCTAGTTCACCAGAGAAATCAACAATCAAGACCCTGCAAACCTTGGGCTAGAAAGCTTGGTGGCAAGAGGTGATGGTGCGCTCCGAGTGATAGCACATAAAGTTTCTGCTGTGTTTGCATGTACTTCAGAAGGACTCTGGGCAATTAAAGAAACATGACATAAAAATCATCACAAACATACCACGCCTCATGAAGCGAAGAATAATTTCATTGTCTGCGCCTATGCGCAACTTTCTATCGCTATCGCATTCCGCGGGAGAATCATACTAAAAGCTCGAAGTTACGAGTTGGATCAATCAACATAAACAATAAAGGAAAAGAAATGGGTATCACTAGCGATATCTTTGTCAATCTAAATAACAGAATTTGATTTTGAAAGTACTTTTCTTATTCTTTTTATAAATAGAAAACTTTTGATGACCCAATTTTTGGTTTCTTTTGAGACTGTTAGAAAAAAGTTTGTTCTTCCCTTTAAATCTTCTGGCAAAAGCTAATATAAAGCTGAATAAATCCATACAACAACACTTACATGCCCAAACATTACTACAATGCCAAAATCACATTCTTAAGGCAACGGCTGTTTGAAACACTCACTAAATGATTGCAATGGATATGTATTAGAGATCAACTCAAAAAGGTTAAATCCAGTAACTCCGACACTGTTTTCACCTTTCAGTTTTGGAAACAGTACTCGGCTTCCAACCAATTTGAAGGTCATCTGGCTTTCATCAAGCTCTAAACCCATGAAATTTCTACCTACCCAACTCCCTTTCAAAATGTACACTGATAATGGATATTGAATCAAGAAATGCCATGATGAATGCATGTCAAAACACGTGGGAGTAAAGGGTTGCCATGAACAAAAAACACACTGCCTATTGAGTGTCGACACACATCCACAGTTTATAACAATAAATATTGGCAGTAATAAACAGAATTTTTTTACTCACAGATGGACTCAGTTTATCAACAATAATTTCTAGTAAATTGCTATCAGCCAACCACTGCATCACATCTATAGAATTGGGATAAATATGGTCCTCGGCACCAACAAGTCGAACCAAAACCTGTTTTTAGAGAGCTCATCAGGTGAGAACGATCGCAAATTACAACTCATCCAATGAACAACTTCTAAATAGAGAGAAAAAATGCTGAATTTTTAAATGAAACTATGGATACTAACCTCCATGATGGATGTAATCCCTATCAAATCAACAAGCTGGCGGAATATATCCTGATGGACCTGTTAAGAAATCAAAGTATCAATCAAAATTTGCCACAGAACGAAAAAAAAACTTTTCCCCTTTTAGGAGGGAAAAGGAAGGTAGAAACTATAAAAAAGAAAAAAAAATCCATTTATTATGACCCCTGACATCTGTTTCTAGTTATAAACAGTAACAAGATGGGTAGGGGAAACCAAACCCCATGCCAACTCCACCACACAGCCAAGACAGTTTTCTCTTGGCTATCTAGTAAGTAAGAATCAAAATTTGGTTTCAATGCAAGGTTTTTAAAATCGAGATTCTACCTTGGATCAATGGAGGTTGTTGTAAGATCGGAATTGTAGAATCGGATCGAGAATCATAAGATCCTACTTATTAAAGAAAATAGAACTAAAAATACAGTCAACAACAAAAATTTCAATGAACCAAACCTTATCTCAGTACTTAACGTAAATATATGATGATAGACATATATATAATATGCATACCACAAGCTAATTCAAATAAAATTGAGAATGTAGCTCAAAAGGTAGACCTTTCACATTAATATTATAACATTAAATTTATAAAGCATAGAGGAGCCAAATAAAGTAGGACTGTAATAGCAAAATCCAAAAATTATAATTTAAGGCTATAACAAGTAAACATTAAGAAGAAAAAACAGAGATAGTGCATTTTGCTTCAAAATGAATAAAAAAAAATAGCTTGTGTGGTTGTGCAAGAGTAGGATCGTGGGATTGTATTTGGAATTGGGATCCTACGATTTTGAAGGATCGGAATCTCAACCCACATCGATTCTACTGCTCCACGATTTTGTATACAATTCAGATTGATTTGTTAAATTTGGATCGTAGGAGTCGGATCGCAATTTTAATAACCATGTTTCAATGTATTGTTTTACTTACCTAGGAAACAACAATGTTTCAGAAACAAAAAATAGAATTTGATAAACAACTTGAGACTTTCTTTGCAAAACATTATAAATCATTGGTCGAAATAAATGAAAACATCTTGAAACATATCAAAACATTCTGAAAATTTTGTGAAAACATCTCGAAACACATCAAAACATTCTGAAACACATGGAGGTGCACCTCAAAGCATTAGAACTTTGATTCAATCACTTATTCGTTTCGATTTCCTTTAAAACGAATACGTTTCAGCCGTTTGATCATTCTGAAATAAAATTTTGATCCTTCCTAGTAACTAACTATCACACCCTAACTGACTTGGGTGCATAATGGCGGTCTTGGTGGCACCTTGCACCAAGGCACGCCATGAGATTGAATCAAGGTGATACGGCTAAGCAGTTTGGTAAATTGGTGCGGACTGTGGCAGCATGAGACCACCCGACTGAGCATGGCAGCACGTGGTGGGCTCAATTGAGGCAATGTGGGTGCATAGCTTCGAATTGCATGGCATGGGCTGAACCCAGCATGCACAATGATTCGTGAGGCAAGGCTGGCTACTGAATTTGGACACATGACTGGCACATGGCTGCTCAATGCATGTGACCAGGAGGATGTGGGCAGTTGCTGAACAAGGCTTAGTCTGTGGGAAGTAGTTCTAGGCGTTCCTAGCCAGATTCTAGTCAAGATGCATGCTAATGAGGGACAGTTTCACATCAATTACTGAATGAGTGAAACTGTCTGTCAGGTGTTACACAGAGATCAAGTCTGCTAGCCAAGTTTGCTATGGAATAGCAGAATGTGGATAACTACCCTTTGGCAGATGGGGGTGTCATCTGCCATGACCTTGTATAAATAGGAGTGCTTGGGCATTCTAATGGTGAGAGAGAGTGTTCTGGCTTTGAGAGTTCCTTGTAAATTGTTGAGTTCAATATATAAGATTTGAGAGTGTTGTCCCAATAAATTTGTGTGTGCCTTCTGTGTGAGTTTTTGTCCCTTGTTCTTGAGATTGAGTGGCTGGTTGCAATAGCAACACCTTCACAGGTAGCCTCGAAACGAAAAATGAGTGTTACCCCGTGACAATTTGGTATCAGAGCGTTAGTTTTGACAAAAAGATCAACTATGGCTGGCAGAATGAATGCAGATCTGAGGGAAAGGGTGGCACGTTTGGAGGAGTTGGTTGGTCCTCCACAGTCCGATGAGCCTGTGGCCCTTTCTGTGGAACTTGAGTTGTTGTATCAGCGGTTCGAAGAGATGCGTGTTGCACAAGAACAGCTTCAAAAGACTGAATTTGATCACTTCAGTCAAGTGAAAAACGAAGTCGTTGACGTGCTGGCTACAGTCTCCACATGGACCGATGATATGGGGAAAAAATTGAGTTCCCTAGAGACGGACGTTTCAGTGCTCAAGAAGGCACTGCAGAATGCTTCTTTGGCTTCCGACAGTGAAAGTACTCAGAAAGCTAAGGTGCCTGACCCTAAGCCTTTCACAGGCAGTCGTAACGCTAAAGAGCTCGAGAACTTTCTGTGGGATATGGGGCACTACTTTAAACCAGTTCGTACGCCAAATGTTGAAAAGGTAGATCTCACTAGCATGTACCTGTCTGGTAATACTAAATTATGGTGGCAAACACGATCTGAGGACAAGTCTCGTCCTCCAATTACGACTTGGGAATCTCTGTCCGCTGAAATGAAAGAGCAATTCCTTCCGAGCAACACGACTTGGCAAGCCCGTGATGCATTGAGGAAACTTCGACATACGAGTATCGTGAAGGAGTACGTGAAGCAATTCTCGTCTCTGATGCTGGATATCAAAAATATGTCGGAGGAAGATAAGCTGTTCAATTTCATGTCCGACCTTCAAACTTGGGCGCAGGCTGAACTTCATCGGCAAGGGGTGAAGAACTTACCCGCAGCTATGTCCGCAGCAGATGCGTTGGTTGACTACAAGACGCAAGCAAATCCTCCAGAGAAGGAATTAAAAGGAAAAGCCAAGTTCCCTAAGAAGGACAAGCAGAACAAAAAGGCTGAGAAGTCTAGCAGCACAGAAAAACAGACTGACAAGCCCTCTTCATCAAAAGGAGGTGCGGACTCAGGCTGTTTTATCTGTAATGGCCTTCATCGTCCTAGAAATTACCCCAAGAAGGAAAAGCTCAGTGCCCTCATGGCTAAGGAAACTGACTGTTCTGACGAACCAACACAAGTCAACCCATTACAACTCCTTAATGCAATTCGCAAAGAGGGGGTTGATGTTTGTACAGATTCGCCTAAACAATGTGGTTGTCCAGGCAATGGTTGATACAGGTGCAACCCACAATTTTGTTTTTGACCGCGAGGATCAGCGGCTTGGTCTGGCTTTGGAGAGAGACTCTAGCCAGATTAAGGTCGTTAATTCAGAGGCAAAACCAGCAGGCGGTGTTNGGGGTTGATGTTTGTACAGATTCGCCTAAACAATGTGGCTGTCCAGGCAATGGTTGATACAGGTGCAACCCACAATTTTGTTTTTGACCGCGAGGATCAGCGGCTTGGTCTGGCTTTGGAGAGAGACTCTAGCCAGATTAAGGTCGTTAATTCAGAGGCAAAACCAGCAGGCGGTGTTGCTAGAGAAGATAGTTGTTTATAGCCAGACTCTTGAGGAGCATGTTGAGCACCTTAGGTTGGCTTTGACAAAGTTGAGGGAAGAATAACTATATCTGAAACTGGAAAAATGTGAGTTTGACCAAAAGGAAATCTCATTCCTCGGGCATATTATTTCTGCGAGTGTGGTGAAGATGGACCCAAAGAAAGTTGAGGCCATTGCTGATTGGCCTGTCCCTACTAAGGTTACAAAACTAAGATCTTTCCTTAGTTTGGCGAATTATTATCTAAAGTTCGTGAAGAATTATTCAAAGAAGGTGGTTGTGTTGACAGATCTTCTATGGAAGGATAGGACATGGAACTGGTCCTACGAATGTCAGGAGGCATTCGATCGATTGAAGGTAGTGGTGACGATTAGCCCAATTTTACGATTACCTGACTTTAATTTGCCTTTTGAAGTCCATACAAACGCATCAGACTTTGCTCTTGGAGGGATGCTGGTGCAGAATGGACATCCAGTGACATTTGAAAGTAGAAAGTTGAATGATACCGAGAGGCGGTATTCTGTGCACGAAAAGGAGATGACGACAGTCATTCACTGCATCAATGCATGGAGGCATTACCTGTTGGGAAAGCATTTCCTGGTGCTTATAGACAATGTGGCTACCAGCTGCTTCAATTCCATGAAAAAGCTGACACCAAAACAAGAAAAATAGCAAGATTTTCTTGCTCAGTTCCATTTCACGTTGCAATACAAGCCTGACAGTGCAAATAAAGTTGTTGATGCCCTTAGTCAGATCCCAGTTACTAATGGGGCGATAGCTGCAATTATCCAGATTGCATTGCAGGAGATATGCTGCAAAGAATTCAGGATCAGACAAAGGATGATCTCGTGACCAGCTTACTGTTGAAACAGGTCCAAGAAGGGGTGACTCGGCGGTTTTGGGTAGAGGATGGTATTCTCTACGCCAAAGGAAGGAGACCCTATGTCCCAAAGTCAGGTGGACTTCGACAGATGTTGCTGAAAAAAACTCATGATGCTCTGTGGTCAGGACAGCAACGTACCCTTGCCTTGCTAGCAGAAAGTTATTATTGGCCCCGTATGAAAGCAGATGTTAAGTTGTATGTGCGCACTTGTCTGGTGTGCCAGCAGGACAAAACAGAAAAGAAGAAGGTGGTGGGTACGTTGGAACCCCTCCCTATTCCAAGCAGACCTTAGGAGAGTGTTTAATGGCTTGCCTAAGGTGAACAATTTTACTTCGATATTTGTGGTTGTAGACAGATTTTCGAAGTATGTCACTTTCATTGTAGCTCCAAAAGTATGCTCTACTGAAGTTATTGCTCAATTGTTCCTCAAGCATATTGTGAAGCTTTGGGATCTTCCGCTGGACATAGTTAGTGACAGAGACACTCGGTTTATTGGCCGATTTTGGACGGCCTTATTTGAACTGTTGGGCACACAGCTCAACCTTTCCACCAGCAATCACCCGCAAACAGATGGGCAGACTGAGCGGGTTAATGCAATGCTGGAGAAATATCTTAAACACTATGTCACGGCGAACCAGGACAATTGGGTGGATTTACTTGATGTAGCCCAATTCAGTTATAATTTGCAGCAAAGCTCTTCCACTGGAATAATCCCATTCGAGTTGGCAACTGGCCAACAGCCTCTTACTCCCCACGAAGTTGCCAAGCAGAAGTCTCAAGGGAGATGTCCTGCAGCATACCGCTTCGCTCGGGCCAACCAGGAGAGGATTGACGAGGCAAAGGACTACCTGAATAAGACGGTGAAGAGGATGAAGAAGTGAGCAGATGAAAAAAGGAGGGCAGTAGAGTTCGAAGTGGGTGACAAAGTGATATTGAAACTGAACCCACCAATCTGGAAGAAGATCACTCGGAAGTCTGCACATAAGGGACCGATCCAACGCTATGATGGCCCTTTCCTTATCACAAGAAGGATTGGCAGGTTGGCGTATAGGCTGGATCTTCCCAATCGTCTCAAACTTCATCCAGTTTTCCACGTTGCCTTCTTGAAGCCATACGTTGAGAACCTAGAGGACCCTAGCAAATATGTTCGGCGTCGGGCACCTCCAACAATCAGGAAGCAATTCACAGAGATAACAGAAGTTATTCTTGACCACAAGACTGAGGGAATGAGTAAGAAAAACATAAGAACTCATTACCTAGTCAAGTGGAAAGAGAAAGTACCAGAGGAAGTCACTTAGGAGAAAAAGACGACATTGTGGCAGTTCGAGGATCTCATCAAGCAGTACCATGCCTCTATTCCAACGGGGTCGTTGGATACTTCAGGAGGGTGGCTTGTCGCACCCTAACTGACTTGAGTGCATAATAGCGGTCTTGGTGACACCTTGCACCAAGACACGCCATGAGATTGAATCAAGGTGATGCGGCTAAGCGGTTCGACAGATTGGTGCGGACTATGCAAGCATTAGACCACCCGGCTGAGCATGGCAGCACGTAGTGGACTCAATTAAGGCAATGTGGATGTATAGCTTCAAATTGCATGGCATCAGCTGAACCCAGCATGCACAATGGTTTGTGTGTCAAGGCTGGCTACTGAATTTGGACACATGACTGGCACATGGCTGCTCAATGCATGTGACCAGGAGGATATGGGCAGTTGCTGAACAAGGCTTAGTCTGTGGGAAGCAGTTCTAGGCGTTCCTAGCCAGATTCTAGTCCAGATGCATGCTAATGAGGGGCAGTTTCACATCAGTTACTGAATGGGTGAAACTGTCTGCCAGGTGTTGCACAGAGATCAAGTCTGCTAGTCAAGTCTGCTATGGAATAACAGAATGTGGGTAACTACCCTTTGGCAGATGGGGGTGTCATCTGCCATGACCTTGCATAAATAGGAGTGCTTGGGCATTCTGATGGTCAGAGAGAGTGTTCTGGCTTTGAGAGTTCCTTGTAAATTGTTGAATTCAATATATAAGGTTTGGGAGTGTTGTCCCAGTAAATTAGTGTGTGAGTTTCTGTCCCTTGTTCTTGAGATTGAGTGGCTGGTTGCAGTAGCAACGCCTTCACAGGTAGTCTCGAAACGAAAAACGAGTGGTACCCCGTGACACTAACCAATATGGACAAAACATGCAGAACTTTAGATATAAAAGCAAATCAAAATGCAAACTTTCAAACCCTAAACCTAATGATAATTGTTAACCAACAAACAATTTTTGATCAATCACGTTACCTAATGGTAAGTGTCAACCAACAAACAATTTTTGATCAATCACATCTACATAATAAAAAGCAATATTTTTATAACAAGAATGAAGACATAAACTACCTTCCCTATTCTTATGACGATAATTATTTACATTTCAAGCCCTATATTTGATGAAGATAAAAGATACAATAAGAAAGTCTCAAGAAATTTCTCTTTTCTCACTCTCACTCTCCCCTTGGCAACAATGGGTAGAGATAAAGATGTGAGACCTCGACGGAGAGGATGTGATAGAGGGTTAACAGTCATAGGTGGTACTTTGTAAGAAAAAAGCCTTGTCCAAAAGTAGGATTTTGTAACAAAATGAAGAAAATAAGACGGCAAAAACTAAAAAAAAATATTGCAAAAGTATGATAACAGAAATCTACAATGCAGGGAACCAGACAAATGGGACAGAAAGGAGTAATTATAGATAAGTTAACACACAGGAATCATATATATAGGTGTCACTGTGTCAATCAACCACTGTTTACAAACTAGAAAGTACACAGAGATCATCACTACAGACTAGCAGCATGGACAGCCCATGCAGTCGTGAAAATTTTGTCAGACCCACCAACATTTAGTGGCTATCAATAAAACAAAAATAGTTATACACATACTGAAATTTCTCCTCCTTGGTTTTGTGATAATTCTTGGTGTCAAAAACAACTAAGAGGTGAAATACATCAAATTGTAATATGGTGACAAACTTCTCCAAGATTACAAGATGCATTGCAAATTTTAATTCAATTGGCCCACCATAACATGGGAATTTATTACAAAAGATGTAATTGATGTGAGGCGTGTCCATTTCAAAAGTTCATAAGAATATGCAGATTTCAAAAGGAGGTCCAAACTTTCTACAACTAATGAAAGAATTTCTAGTTTTTTTACCAGGTCTAGAGCAACCCGGAACTTCAACAACAACTACAGACTACCATGTAACAATAATCGAGGAATCTACTCACTTGAACATAATTCATAAGCGGGACTGTCTTCCGCAACATGAGGCATATTACAACCTGCAAAGTGACAAAATTAATAAGCAACTAACCTTGGGCAGAACATCATACAAAAGGGTAATAGTATAAGCTGTACATACCTTGCTAAAATATCCAGCCAGCAAGGCACTATGAGTACGGTTTGGTTCCAAGAAGGAGAAAAGCAAATTCATTAACTGCAAGAGCCAAATAAAGCCACTCACATTTGCATACCCCACTGTAGTATATAATTTTTATAATATTTACGGTGCGTCCTAGATGCTAATAGTGCAGCCCATACCTCGTCTTCCTCCACTAAAGTTTTCAAGATAACATCAATTTCACATGTAAAGATCTCACAGGCAATGAAGGGAAACCTAAATAATGCCAAACAGTAAGAAATCAACTTTAACCTAAATCAATGAAGAACATAAAATTTTGAAACATAATTGTCCACAAAACTTGTTCTTCCAGCACATAATAATGGCATACTTGAAGGTACGTTTGCTATCAGCATCCTCTGGAGGCTCTTCCACAATATACTGCAGTAACTGTTCCACCTGGGCTCTATCTCGCAAACTGAGACAAAATTTAATAAGTATCATCAAGGAGCTACTTCTTCATAGTTGAAAATGCACTCTACAGACCATGATATTCGTATTGACTTACGAAGTACTATAAACTGCTGTATATATTGGTAGGAAGAAAGATGGCACAGAAATATTAATTAGTGGGAGAAAGTAAATTACAAATTAATGAGACGACCGTTTAATGCTTTGCATTCTTGGATTATATCTTCTTCATCTAGAAGCTCTGCCAATGTGAAATTTTCCTTGTCCAATACTGACTCAACCTATAAACAATAGCAGAAATAAACAAAAATAACAGGTTAGGAGAAAGCAAGTAAACAATGCAGGAGTTAATAAACTGCCAACTCTTGGACACCAATTAAAATGCCGTTAATATCATAGATTTGTCACATTGCATATAACCACTGGCTGGAAATCAAAATAAGGTAAGCAAACCAAGTAGCATGAAATAGTCAATCACGCAAAGAACAGTATCCAAGGTGGCATCTCTAAATTCAAGTACATTAGGCAAGTGGTAAAGAAGAACCAAACATAATCCTGTCCAATGGAAAGGCCAAAATGCCAGGAAGTCAAGCAGGTATTCTAGAGAACAACACTCAATTTTCCATGACTACCAACATGAGCAAATCACTTACAATTCATATGATAGCTCATAACATCAAATCTAACAACGATGAACCAAATCACTTCAAAATTCAAAGCTTCATTTCATACATGAAAAAAGTTCATTTTGTTTGTTAAAGTGGAATCAAAGAAAGATATAACAAAGGGAGTAAAAAACATAATTTTCAATTCAATCATTTGATGTCTGGAATTGAGAAGACTAACACTTGCACTCAACTGATTTTAATATAACATCCTGCATTTGGTCAACCTGACTTCTTCCAGAACAGAATAAAATTTATGAAGAGATTCTCCAGTTAAAAATACGAGGTCAAAAATTCTGCTTTCCATTCCTTTCCTCCATTCTCTTGGCAATGAAACAGAGGATAAATTGACCCAAAGAAGACTCTAACAACACGGGTACTAATTAAAACTTGCTTAGTAAAGCAAATCAAAGCCTAGATAAATTCAATTCTCATCCAATTATGCTTAATTCCTGATACACATAAATGAAGTAAAGAGATACTGAAATTGCAATCAAACAACAACATGCATTCAGTACGTAACGTTGGTTTATAGTTTGAAAACATATATTTAATATCTTCAGTCGATTACAGTTGGACCTCAGCTCGATCCGTCTAAAACATATACAAGGAAACGATAATATACAAAAAAGTAAAATTCAAATAGCAGATGAATCAGATTTCAAACATTATTTCCAATTATACGAATTGCACAAACCAGACTGAACAAGCAAAAAACATCACTTACCGGAGACGATAGAGAAGTAACCTTCCAGAACATATTGAATCCGAAAGAGAGAGAGAGAAGTAAGAGACGAGCTTGAAGCAAGAGCTGTTCAGATATGCAAACCCTAGATTAATTGAGAAGATTGAAAGAGGAGCTCCAGATTCAAGATGTGTTAGGTAGCTAAAAGGAGTTTGAAGTTTTTGCAGCGAAGGCGAAACAAAAGCCCTAGTTTTGAGAGAGGGAAAGATCAAAAGCAAACAAAGCCGAAAAGATCGAGATCCAGAGGAGAGAGAGAGAGAGAGAAGACTGTTCTTTCCTTTCCTAAATATCGCAGCTGCGGCTATTATTGCTATTTGCGAAGTGGGAAAACGGCGCAAAATACAAACGAGGTTCGGAATTAACTATAAACCAACTTTGTACTAGTTTGTCGTAGTCGTACACTTCGTGCTAGGGTACTTTGTGCGAGGAATAATTAACATATTTACTTTGATAAAAAATTAAATAGAAATAAATATAATTAATTAAATTAAAAGAATAAAATTTTGAGATAAATTATCGAATTTAAATGATATGAATTATTATGATTTATGCGATTGACTGAAAAAATGGGATAAAAAACAGTAACTAAAAAACGTGACATTCTTATAATGGTATTTTTATCCCATTTTTAAATATTTAAAATTTAAAATTCTCTCATATGATAATACCGTGTCATTTGGTCTTTTTGTTTCTTAGTCTAACATTACTCATTCACAGTGATATTAATCGAGATGAGCTACTCGAATTCGACTTAAATTCGTAAAATTTGGCTCGTTTATAAGTAAAATAGTTAAATTACTTAGATTCGCCTCATTTTCTAAACAAATCAAATTTGAACAATTTTTTATACTCATTTAAAAAAAAACAAGCTCAGCATGTTCAACTAGATTAACACATCTACCCCTTCAAGAATTCCTAATGAAAAAAAATCCAAAAATTATAATTACAACAACACGATTGAATCACATCGTCACTATATTATTAGGTTAACAAATTAAATTATTTTTTTAAATTTATATAACATTACTCATTATTATATAGATATATATGTACATGTATCATGTATGTATGTCTGATGAATGGTGATGCTTCATGGTCTTTCTTGGTTTTTATTCTAACCATTATTATAGCAATAATGATATCTATATTGAATTTAAAATTTTATTGTGGTCAATAAGGTGACTATAGACTTAAATTAATGCTATGACCTGTTGTTAATTTATGGCCACAATACATTACGCTTTGATAGCACTACTTGTAAGAGCATCTCCAACTATAATTCAAATTTTTATTTAAATTTAAATTAATATTTGAGTAAAAAGTTTAATTTGATATAAAAGACTTCAATGGATAAACTCAAATTTAAATAAGGAGAAACCCGAATTTAAATAAGAGCAAACCCAAATTTAAAAGGGAGTAAAGATAACCATTGAATTTTTAAAAGATGGTGAAATCTCACCATTACAGATTTGAGTAAAGATTTGAATCCCCTTTAATTTGAGTAAAAAAATGAATTTTCCTTGATTTGGTATAAGTTTAAGTCAAAGATTGGAGCAAGTTTTTTAAATTTTTTTACTCAAATTTAAATTTGAGTCTAAATTTGAGTGAGGATTAGAGATGCCCTAAGTATATATATGTTTAAAATACAACACATTTGGGAAAAAATAAATAAAAAATACTAAGAATAAAACTTTTAACAAGGATTATTATATAGAATAATGTGTTAGTTATAATTCTATACATACCATAATAATTATAATAATAATTGATGATGCACAAATTGATTTACACATCACCTGTCAATCAAGCAATATAAAATGCAGTAGATAAGTAGAGGAAGAGAGAAGACAAAGTTTATAGTGGTTCGGTTAAAGTGACCTACGTCCACTTTGAATGACAAGGGTCGCCAGATATTTTATTAACTCAAGTGCGTAGGGAGAGCAAAGAGTTACAAGCTTTGAGAGAGTGAGGAAAGAATTATGCTCGAATAAGTGTGATGCCCCCAAAGTGTTGGCAAGACTTACAATTTATAGTCGCCTCATAACGCATAATAATTGAATAGCTAGTCTAGCGGTCATAATGGATTGGAACAACTTAATGGTAATTAAATCGCTGATTCGGCGGAGGTGAAGACCTTTTCTCAACGGGCGAGGAGTTACAATACTCTCCATAGGACTCGGTCAAATGATAAGGTGAGGGTTGACTTCTTCCAAGGTGGTGTGGAGGAGGTTCTTGGATGACCCTTTCTCCAAGGTGGCGAGGATGAGACACTTAGATGACCCTTACTCCAAGGTGGCTAAGAGGAGGCTCTTGAATGACCCTTGCATACTCCCCTGTTGCTGCAGCCCCTCAAACCTGATAAGCTTGACCGGGTGTGAACCACTTTGGGTGCTAGATCCCTTAGAGTTGGGCTCTTAATTTAAACTAAGCTTACATCACGGGCTAGGCCCTTGGGCTTGACTCATCATTTGCCCCCCCCCCAATGCCCTGTGCCCAACAGACCTTGGAAATGAGGGCATTCAGGTTGAGTTTGAATTTTTAGCTAACTAGCATAACTGGCAAAGCTTCAGAGGGCCAAAACTTGTGCTTTTAGGCTTTTTTGAGCTTTTAACAATATTAATCACAGCCTTTAAGGCTCGCCGAAAGCTTCAATTTGATATATTATGGGTCCTATTTGGAGTAACGAAGTGAAAGTTACGGTATAAATAATGAGCATGAGTTGGGTGCACAATTTTGGGTGAGCAGGCAGCTTTTGGGCGATCACAAAGTGTCTTGGGCAAGCAGACAGCCTCCTGGGAGAGTAAACAGCTGATTTTTTTTTTTTAAAAAAAAAAAAAAAACTATAGGAGGCCAAAACATCTATTTTTGGGCCTTTTTTGGACATTTTTACAGTGTCCTTCATTGCCAAAGGTAGTGAGTTTTGTAGGGCTTATCGAAAGCTTCAATTTGATATATAATAAACCTTATTTAGAGTTTCAGATCAAAAGTTACAATCAAAATAGTGTGCAGCCCTTTTTAAATCCGATTTTTTTTAAAACTCCTCTGGATCGATGACCTTCTTCTTTCCAGTAGACTCCTTTTGCTTGTAGGACTCCATTGTCTATATAAACTCCTAATTCCTTTCCTTTTTGGATTCTTGAAGAGTCTTAGGTTGTAATTTTGGGTTTTTTGTTTTTCCTTTCCTAAATAGGATTCAGAAAACCCTTGGTATAAATAGGAAGCTTCTTCCCCATTCCATTCTTTCCATATAAATTTGAGAGGGTGAAAGAGAGTGCTATTCTTGAAATACTTGAGAACCCAAAGCTAGAGATTTCACTCCTGAGATGAGGTTTCAAAAATCCATGTCCAACAAAGGAGAAGATGTCGATCTTGGAGAGGAGCTTGGTGAACGAGCAAGCCATGCCAACGAGGCTAGGCGATCAGCTCAAACTGCCAACAGAGTAGGCACCCTTGGAATGGTGGTGGGCGAGCCTGCTGTTTTTATTGGAGATGAGAGGCATCGGGTGAGTAAGGCTAGTAGGGGGCACCTATGTGCGTGGGAACCATCTAGGTGAACAAGTAGCACCTAAGTTGGGCAAGCAGGCTTGCCTGGGCGAACAAAGAGAAGGGAACAGGGTTGATCCAGGTGGGCAGGTGCCAATAGGCACTGATCTGAACAGTTCTGGCAAGCAGCCTACTCGCGTGGGAACTGTTTTGGCGCAAAGCTGATGGGCGCGCCGAAGGAGGTTTGGACAAAGCTACCCCATGAGCAGGAGAGGTGGAGCTGGGTGTCCCAGCTGGCGAAGAGAGGAATGAGGCGGTCCAGGTTGGTGAGGAAGTGGTCCAAGCTGGCGAGGAGGCTTCCTAGGGCAGGGCCAAGGTCCAAGCAAGCTTGGCATTGGGCTCCTAGACTGCGATGACCCCCTTCAAGCAGTCCATGGCGTTCAGTTTGCTAGGGTGAGCGTCATTGGGCGCAAGGGAGACAACGCTGCCTCGGGGCACGACTGGGGCGCAAGCAGTTGAGTCTACTACAGTTAAGTCCATTATGGGAGATCTTCCAGGTGAGCCAGTTTATACCTGTGGTTCAAGCGAGCCTAATATGCCTCCTTTAAGTGCAGCTTCTCAAAATCAAATTGGCCTTCCTGGTAGTGGCTCAAGCAACTCTTCACGCCCTCACAATAAAAAGCACCAAAGCAAAGTAGCTCTTGATGATGATGGGTCCAAAGTAAGTACCCTTTCTAATATGCTCAATACTGATGATGATATTCTAAGGATTGTTTCTGCTTATCACATTCCCCCAACGGTACTATGTTGTCGAGCTGAGATGGGTGAGCCTGCCTCCGATGACTCCTCTAGCAACATTCTCATCTATGAGGAAATGCTTGAGGTTGGGCTTAGGTTCCCCATGTCTCCTTCTATTTGTCGTATTCTCCATTACTTTTCACTCACACCGGGGCGATTGTCACCCAATGGTTGGAGAGTTTTACTGTGCTTTTCTGGTACTGTGGAGGAAGATGCATCATGAGGATGCCTCTCCTGTTGAGTTTCATATGGCTTATACTTTGAGCGAGACTCCTGCTCCCAATTAGGGTAGGTATTATTTTACTACAAGAGACAAGTTGATTATCGGACTGCGCTCTAATTGTCATAGTTGAAAGTCTCGCTTTATATTTGTCGACGGAGAGTGGGCTGCAGAGGTCGATAGGGCTTTGGTACCAATAAGATGGGATACTCCTAAAAAGCTTGGTACGCCTTGCACTTACTCTCTCTCCTTTGATCTTTTTTTTTTTTACTCATCATTCCTCTTGCAGATCCTCCTGTGCTTTCTAAGGACCAAGAGTGGAAGTTGCAGGGCATGAGGGCTTATCCTGAAAAAGACTTTGGAGTCCTTATGTCCAAAGATGGTGGTGGGGCTAGTGGACCATCTTTGAGATCCTATTTGAAAAAAAAAGAGTATGTTGACTCTCTTGTACTTTTCCCCTTTACTTGGTGTTTTTCATCTAGATAACCTTTTACTTCCTTTGCAGCAGTAGATAGAAAAGTGATTGGGTCCCGCCTTTCTGGTAGGAGCCCTCCTCCTCCTAAGGTGGCGAGGACGGGCGATGCCTCCCAAGTGGCTTCTCCATTGGCGCTGCAGAGGTGTGCTCTCCTCAAACAACTCTGCCAGTGGTACTCCGGGCACACTCCCATCAAGTGACCCCTCATGTGGTGCCTCCTCAGTCGGAGACTCCTTCAGTTGCATCTTCTACTCCAGAGTCCCACTTGTTGGCCACACCTTCTACCCCCCATTCATCCACTCCTTATGTGGAAACTTCTACTGGGGCTTCTTCTTAGATTAGCTCCATGTTGGGTAACGCGCGGATCATCAGGGATCAACTCGAGAGGTTTGTGTTTCCCAATAATGTGAATGAGATTAGTGCCTTGGGCACCGAGAGAATCTTCAACTCTTTTCTAGAAGGCTAGGCTCAGATAAGGGTTTGTTATCTCCCCTTTCTCTCATCCTTTCATAAGTGTCTGACATCTTTTTGCCTTTTGTTTTTCTTCAAGCCTCAACTGCATCTATGTGTTTATTTTCAAGGATTCTCCTTTATCACCAGCTAAAACACAGGAAGTTGTGCAAAATGAGCTTCATGCTGCTCAGGGGAGGATTGTCGAGCTTGAAGCTGCTAGCAGAGCTTCTGATGCTAACCTTGTGGCGACCTGCGAGAGGATGACTGGTCTTGAGACTGATCTTTCGGCGACCCATGGGAGGACGGCCAAGCTCGAGGCTGAGCTTGCGAAGGCCCGTGAGAGGGAACCTAAACTTGAGTCTGAGCTTTTTGGCCACCAATGAGAGGGACGCGCTCAAGGTGGCGACCTCTTCTCAGCGGGCGAGGAGTTACAATACTCTCTATAGGACTTGATCAAAGGATGAGGTGATGGTTGACTTCTTCCAAGGCAGCGAGGAGGAGACTCTTGGATGACCCTTACTCCAAGGTGGCTAAGATGAGGCTCTTGGATGACCTTTGCATGCTCTCCTGCTGATGTAGCTCCTCGAACCTGATGAGCTTGATTGGGTGTGGACCATTTTGGGCACTGAATCCCTTGGAGTTGGGCTCTTAATTTAAACTGGGCTTGCATCGTGCACTAGGCTCTTGAGCTTGACCTATTAATAATAATAATCCTTTATTTTGAAACTAAACAAAAATTAACAACTAATATTATTTTATTTATAAGCAAGTTGTAGTTGTTTGTAGCACATTTTTGAAATATAAGTAGATGAACAATTGTTTGGTATTTTTTAAGCACTAAGGACTTTTTCTTTCTTTGTTACAGGGTGTTTAGACTTACGCCAATTACTCACTCGAGTTTAGCGACACCCATCGTGGCATGAGCTAGGATAGAATATGTGTCTTGAGGAACAAAGATAGCTAGCCTTTAGATGGTGTGAAAAGGGATTGAACGTAAGACATCTAAGTTACCAAATGTCAGACTTAACCCCTAAATCACTCATAAGGGTTTGCAGAAAATATAAGATCTCTTATTTCTAAATTGAAAATGCACACGGGATTTTCTGCAATAGATTGAGGTAGCGATCACCTGTATGATGAACCTAAAACAACCATAAGGTCAGCAAAGGGGTCGGGTGAACACCCGACTTATCCCCTCCGAAGCTTAATTTAGTATAAGATTGGAGAGTTGAGCACTGTGTATTCTAATCTCAGTTCTGTTTTGCTTACCTTTGTTCATTTTGCTGAGGAGTATTTATACCTGGATTAGCAATGAGTGCAGGGACAGGCAGTCCCATCTGGACATTTATTGACCTACAACCTTCTTGATGTGTAATAAGTGCCCTTTGCTCAGATCCCCCTGCCTTTAATGATCTGGTGACAAGACAAGTGCTTGGGACTACGCCGAGCACTTATAGCTATGGCGGGGGCAATCAAGTTCCTCTGATCGGCGTCTAACACCTATTCTCGGACCTTCATTGTTCGAGAAATAGTAACTCGATACGCACCAAGGAAACATACTCGATGTAATAGCCATTAATGTTTCACCATCATGACTGCTACTTTTGGGTCTCGAGGATGCAGAGGCTCATTAATAGTTGTGTCCTTGTCACTCATATCTCATTAATGAGCTGTCATGTCTTCTTTAAATGCTAGTGCCAGTTTGTGCACTCAGTGCCTCCGATCCATTACTCCTTGACACCAAATCTCGACGTCTTTTAGGCTACCTAATGGCTGCATCTTTACGCGTGTCAAACTGGGGGCTGCTGAGCCGCCTAAAGTCTCGTCAATTGCCCTCCAGCCTCCATTTTCTTTGAGACGTGGGACAAGTGGTGCAAAGAGAGTGGTGTCTTGCCGAACATGCCTAATCAATTGGGGCGATTACTTGGACGTCTGACACCGCCCTTTTCAAATTCTCAAATGATTATTTTGCCTTTTCGATTCCCACTTCCTTAGCAGGGTATAAATAGGAGGTTTCTTGGCCATTTACAAACTTTGCATTCTCGAATCTCTTCTTAGCAATCAACTCTTGAGCTCTCCCTTTCCTTCCCGAGAACTCTTCTCTACCTTCCTGAGCTCTCATATTGAAGACTTGCAATCTATAAGTATTTTCCCCATCTCAAATTTGTTTCTCATTTTTCTCTCCTTCTACCTTTCTCCCAGATTCCATCCATGGCAAGAATACATAGGACAGAGGTCAGGAAGCCTGTTAGGGCTAGGGCCAACTAAAAGTTGAGAAGAACTGAAGTAAATGCAAACAACATCCAAGCCTTTAGTGATAGATACCAAATCCCCATACCCGTTTTCACCTTTCATTTTAATCCTAGGTTCCATAAAAAAGATATAGAAAGCGTAGAAATGATGTCCTTCTACACCAAAGCCATCATGGAAAGAGGAGTAACATTCCCTCTTCACCCCTTACTGTTGATGATGTTCATGCAGTTGAGGTTTTTTCCTCTAAAATGTACTGTGAACTTCTTTGGGCTAGTCATAGGCGTAGTCGCCCTGAATGCTTGAATTAGGGTGAACCTACGGGTAGACAAAATCCTGTTCTATTACAACTTAAGGCTAGTCACTAGAGGTAGGTACTACCTCCAAGCTCGGGACCCTTCCATGTACCAGGTGACCCACATGCCGGACTCGAATAAGGGGGTATGTGGATGATCTGATCATTCTCGGTGGCAGTTGGGAGAAGGAAGAGGGGCTCAAGTATGACGGATTATACTGCCCCTAAGTGCTGAGGGATCAAGGTGTGTATTGCATATACTCTAAGAATGTTCGGCTCCTATTGCGGTTTCTAATATCCTTGGTAGTTTGCTTTTGTAGAAGGATACAAGGTTGATGCTGCTCAACCATTAAAGTCTTAAGTTTGCTTCGAGGACCTGTTGAAAGTTTGGTCGCACAATCCTTTTGATCCTTTCGCCTAAGTAGCCCACACACTACTCGGCTACTAGCCAACTTACAATCGATTCTCTCAAAACCCCCCGCCTTTCGACCCTTCAATCTGGGAGGATTACCATTCTTCGGAGAAATAGGAGGAAGACCTTGAAGCAAACCCCAACCAAGACGCCAAACACACTCCTTCCCCCAACGATATGTTCAATCCACCACCCATCACTGTTGCATCCATGGAGGCTGCCGCGGCGGCCAGGAGAGCGAGGCTTTCTGGAGCTGCCAGGACTTCAGGGATAGCCCCGATTATCCCACCGCCGACTTCAACATGTCGACAACTACCTCCATCACCGCCATGTTCTTAGTCGTCTGGGGACCCCATTATCCTGCTAAAAGACCAGGCGCCAAATGCCCCCTCGGACGATCGACAAAGAGACTGTCGAGGTCGAGAGCCTTAGGGGTCTGAAGAACGTCGGGTGAAGCACCGACACAATGCTCCAGCCCGGGGCACCNAGAGACCAGGCGCCAAATGCCCCCTC